CGTTAGCCCTGGCCGCTGCAGAGGGGCTAATGTTAGCTCGTCTGCAGCGGCCAGGGCTAACGTTGACAGAAAATTCCCAAAGGGGAACACAGGTTAAAAAAGGTTATAAACGTGACAGAAAAAAGCTTTATTGACTCTTTTAATAGAACCCCAACTATTCATTTAAAGTTTGTTTTTTTTTATTAATTTTCATTTTATTGAATGAACCTCGATGGAATTAGCACGATTACATAATTTATAACAGAAAAAGCATTTTCTGGGTTCGAACGGCATGCACTGGGTTAAAAAGTAGTTTGTAGATAAAATGTTCCTTAAATATTAATCAAACACGGATATTATTTATTTCCAGAAACGATATTTATTGATAAAAATGAAATGAAAAATGCTGAAGGACTGGGAGCTGTTGGGTGCAGTTCAGGCCTCCAGCTGCTTCCTCTGGACCAAACCTGTTTTTAAAGCAGAGATCTTCAGCTCCACGTTAGGAAGCAGCTGCTCTGCAACCAGAGGAGGAGAAATGGACCGAAACCCGATGGCCGTCAGCTCTCCATGTGAGCAGACCTGCTAGCAGCGTATCGGTTCACATAGATCCTACAGAATAGAATAGAACTTCATTGATCTCACAATGGAGACATCGGCTCTTATAAACAAACAGGCGGAGCAGGAAGGAGGTGCATGAAGTAAACAGAGCATCCAGATACAGGGGGGTGGGAGGCGTCGTCCAAGATGGACGGCGATCTTCACGGCGCCCCATGACCAGCAGCAGCTTCCTGTGATGCTTCCTCCTCTGTCTCTGCTCAGGGCGTCTTTATCTGCTGCTGAAACCTTCCCATCATGGAGGAACTTCATGACGTGCAGCTGACGGAGATCAAACCTCTGCTCACAGGACAGGTGAGGGGGCGGGGCTTTGGGAGGGGGGGACATTATGGACAATCAGGGTCCAACTATTCCAGACTGTCAGAGCGGAAGCTGCGACACGGTGAGAAGAAAGGAGCATCCAGATCAGCTTCTAATGAACCCTTTAAGCAGCAGGAAGTAGGACACCCAGAAAGACTCTGACCAGAACGGTTCCTCACGTCATCCGTGAGCAAAACCACAGGATGTTAGTTACCTGTGACAGTAAATACCTGAAGGAGCTGCAGCAGTAATCCAATGTTAACCACCTAAATGATGCATGCAGCATCTATAGACCTTCCTTCATGCTCATCCAGGTGACGGTCGGCATATGGTGTCATTTTCTATTTCTTCTAACTGTAAAATCCTTGCAACAAGCTAATTAATAAAACTAAAATGCTTTCTTTGAACCAAACTACGATGTTCCTCTTATATTTGGCGAATTTATGTTTAAATAATCTGTTGCGGTGAATGATGGGTTTAGCATCTGAAGGCTAACGTTTCTTCCGTGCGTTTAGGACGGCCGTCTGTGGGTGAAAAATGTTTTTCTTTAGATCTATGGCCTAAGAGATCAATAGACTTGGGTTCAAATTGGGCCAGATTTAATAAATCCAGGCGGTTTATGAACATTTTTGGGCTGGAAAACGTGAGTCAGTGACATCAGGCAGCCCTGCTGATGCGGTGAGCGTGGTCGCTACGCAGCGGCGGTCACTGTGGCGTCCGTTAATAACCAAACCACAGAGGTCTAGGTGATGGTTGTGGTTTGATGCTTGAAGATGGATCGGTTAATCCACAATGTGGTTCGTATTGTGTTTCACGGGGGGGGGGACCATAAGTGGGCCGGTGTAGATGGAAAATGCCGGAGCCTAAAATGGTTCCCAGTCTGAGCTGCACCCAAAACATCTGCTTTCTCTCTCTTCTCCATCAAATCTGTTTCTGCTCTCAGATTGATTTCTTCTTGCACAGATATTTTCACTCTCTCGCCTCCTGCTCTTCGCACACAAACCTCCCTCTGATCTCACAACAAGAGCAAGAAGCTGAACCATCAACAAACATCAACAAAGCTGGTTTTTCCCAAACGCTCATCGGACAGTCAGGCTGAGGTGTTCAAACTTCATCCAGAAGTCTAGCAGTCGTTTCTGTCCTCTGCTGCTAACAATTACCTTAATAGATTGTTTTCCTTTATAAGGCCATTTTATTCCCATATTTATTTACTTTACTGGTTTAGTCATAATTTAGTATTTTATTTAGGTTGTTTATTTATTCTGCTCTCAATTATCAACCCAAATTCCAGATGGAAAAATAAACAGCATCTATATGGATCCTTATTAGTTTAGCTTTGCTGTTTTTCTCTTGTTTTATCTTCTTTCCAACATTTTCTTGATCAGAACAAATAAAATATGTTCTGTTGAAGAAAAACCACAAAGTTTCAGTCAATTTAACCTCCAGATATATCTGAGCTATAGATCCATGGAGAATAGATCATTTTAAAGCCTCCATCATTCATCTTAATGTAGGAATTAAATCCTGTTATTTATATCCTCTGTCATTATAATCATTATTATTATTAAATAATAATATTATTGTTAAATAATAATATTATTATTTCCAGTAGAATCATTTGAACACCATATAATTATAAAAAAAATATTTATGTTAAATAAATTAGCATATTTATTCTAGATCAGCTTAAGATAGATTTACTTCTTAAAGAATTGTAAATAATTTAAAAGCAAATTCAATCAGCCTAATTTATTTTTATACAAGTTATTTGCGCTACACACATATAGATTTATTTACCCTTAAAGTTTGATCTAAAACCGAAAGAATTAAGGTTAACAAATTAAACTTTAGCATTTAGCATTTAAATAATGACTCAGGTCCTTGATTATTTGAAGAAATTCCCAATTATTGTTAAACAAGCAAATTCTGTTCATTTAATATAATTTTGTTATATTTTGTTTCGTTAAACTTTATTCATTGTGATATTTGAACCTTTTATCAATCCCCTTTATTCCCAATATAAACAGCTGCATTAAGTTTAACACATTTAACTCCTGCTTTGTTTTGAAAACAGGTTAGAGGGAAGAATGAGCCACGGAAACTAGAAGCTGTCCTTATTTTACAGTTTAACATTAATTATTCACTCATTTCTATTTTCCCCAGACAGGGTTAGGGTTAGGGTTAGGCAGATCGCATCAGAGCGTCGGGTCACACATTTCGTGAGCTGCTAACTCAAACTGTACGATGAAGCCGCAAGGTTTAAAAGTTCACATCAGCTCCACAGTGAGTTGGCGCTAAAGAAGAAGAATCCTTGTTGCCCACAGAGCGTTTTGCCCACGACCACCTTAAGATGGCCGACTGGATTTTAAACATGTTTGATTTTCTCCCAACCTTCTGATTCCTGATGGGGGGGTGGTCGTTAGAGGCTGATCGCCCCTCGTTACCCCATGTACACCATACGACGCACCATCAGGCTGGAAGTCGGCCCAAAAAGGGCAAAAAATCCTCAAAGTCCGCCCGGCCTTAACCGCTGGTTATCGTCCCGCAGCAGCGTGTCGCAGTGAGCTCGTCGCAGATATTTTTGATTTCTGCCCAATTTTGACGACACACCGTTCCCCCGTGAGTGTTCCCTAAAGACTGGCCGTGGCGCTGCGTGGGTTGGCTTCAGGTGCAAACCAACAGACCGTCGCTCAGAGCTACAAACTAGCGTCCTGCACGGTGTCTGAGATAGAGTCCGAGGTGAGCCAGGCGCTGTGGGCGGAGCTACAGCCAGAGTTTCTGCCATTAGGACCCAAACAGGAAATATGCATAGCGTACAGCGGATGGAGAACTGACCAATCAGAGGCCTTCTGTCTGCGCTCACCTACAATTTTAGAGAGGTGTAGCAGAGTGTCTGTGGAAGGGGGCGGGGCATATCTGCGTTAACTGCGGCACACGCAGACGGCCTGGTCTCTGAGCATAAACCAGGTTCTAGTTCTCCCTGTGACTCCAATCCTCCTGCTGCTCGTTTGTTCGTAGTTTGGTTCCCAGCAGCTCGGTTCCTCACTGCTTCTCCTTTTCTTGCAGAACGGAGGAAACCTGCAGGACTTTGACTGTCAGGTGAGTTCCTCATCATCATCATCATCATCATCATCAGTCCGCTGTGCTGTGGCGATGTTGGGTCTTGTGAACAGAGGTCAATACATTCACCATGAATTCAGCAGAACTACTGAGATCCTTCCTTAATGATCCAAAGGGTTTAAAGTGAACAACTGTCCTGATGAAGGAGGAGATCATGGGAGGATGGTGAACAGAGGGAGAGGAGCAGCTCAGCTGAGGCCAGGCTTAGGGGCTCAGCTGTTCCTCCTCTCAGCCAATCAGGGAGCAGATTACTGCTGCTGATCCCATCATCTCCTCCTGCTCTCATTCCTCCTCATTCCTCCGACAAAGCGGCGCCGTTCTCAGGATGGGGGACTGTCTGGAGCTGCATCAGATCTCCTGCTCTCTAGGAGGTCAGGTGGTGAGTGAGCTGGTGGTTCACCTGCTGGCCGCCATGTTTCCTGCTCAACTTCATCCTCCGCTCCGCTCGCCGCCTTTTTGCTAAGCGTCTGTTTCCCTCCTGGGTCCAGGTTCTGGGTCTGGATTTTGGGTTCACATCCAGGCCTTAGTTTCAGGTCCAGTCTTAAGATCCGGGTTTAGGTACAGGTTTTGGGTTTTGGGTCCAGGTTCTGGGTCCGGGTTTTGGGTCCAGTTTTTGGGTTCAAGTCCAGGCCTTAGTTTCGGGTCCAGTCTTAAGATCCGGGTTTAGGTACAGGTTTTGGGTCCAGGTTCTGGGCTCTGGTCTTTAAATCAGGTTTGGGTACAGGTTTTGGGTCCAGGTTCTGGGTCTTGTCTTTAAATCAGGTTTGGGTCCAGTCTTTGGGTCCAGGTTCTGGGTCTTGTCTTTAAATCAGGTTTGGGTCCAGTCTTTGGGTCCAGGTTCTGGGTTC